TGGATTACAGATTGGAGATCTACAGCAATAAAATACACAGATGAAAAACACTGGAAATGCGTTTCATGACATCAATGTCAAAAGATGCTCTTAGTGACTTGTCCTGCATGGCAAGGTAAATTAAAAACAAAATACATTAAATTATATCAAATGTGATTTAAAAGCTTTTATGCAACAAAGGAAAATATAAGATGATTAAAAAGACACCATACTGAATGGAGAAAATATTCATACAATATAAAACTGATAGGGGATTAATATCCAAGATATATAGAAAAACTCACAAAATTCAACAATTCAAAAACCAAATGACCCAATAAATAAATGGCAGCAGATACCAGCTAAGAATGCACCAAAGAGTTTTCCAGGTGGTTAATAGACATGAAAGAATGTTTATCACTTCCAGTAGTTTAAAACCACAGTGAGCTACCATTTTGCATCCGTGTGAATGACACATATTAAAAAGACCTCCAATAGCAAGTGATGGAGGACCCGTATTACACTCTTTGTGGGAATGTAAACTGGTACAACTATGTGGAAAGCAATCTGGATTTACCTTAAAAAATCCAAATACCATATGACCCAGGAATCCAACTATTGGGAATAAAGCCAAATTGAAACCCTCAACACAAAAACCATATGTTCTGCAATGTTCATAGTAGCATCATGGAAGTAGCCCAAATATGGATGATTGAATCAAGAAGTTGTGGTATACCCACACTATGGAGTACTATTCAACCATAAGAAATGATGAAATGCAGTCATTTTCAACAAAATGGAGGGAATTTGAGAGAATTATGTGTAGTAAAGCAAGTTAGAATTATAAAATCAAAATCAACAAAAAACTATGAACCAGAGACACTTTTTGGGGGGTGGGGGCGGGAGGGAAGGATTGGGTCAGAATGGGGCGTTTGCAATTGTATGGGGGAATATAAAAATAAAATTTAATATTTAAAAAAAAAATAATAAAATAAACCAAACCAAACCAAAAAAAAATAAAAAAATAAAAACAAATAATGGAATTTACATAGCAGAAAATTCAATAATGTCAAACACTTTCAAAAACCAGTGAAGGGCTTACCTGGTGGCGCAAGGGTTAAGTGCAGCACTGTGAAGCTATCTGCAGCCTCTGCAGCACCGGTTTGATCCTCAGTGGCCAGGAAGCTGCCCACCTGGCGTAGCAGACCTCTCCTGTCTCTCCTGCTGCTCCCCTCAGCAGTGTATTTCAGTTAGTCTGCTTGTTTTGCTCCCCACTCCTCTAACCAACCCCTCCCCCCCAGTCCTTGTACCTCTGGCCTGTACCCCAGTTCTTGTATGCATAAATAAATAAATCTTTAAAAAATTAAAAATAAAAAAACAAAACAGTGAAAGCCAGTAATCATCATGCGCACTCTGAGATTAAGAGGGAGGGGACTGATAAGGGGACATAGGGGATAGAATGGATGGTGGTGGTAAAGAAAAAAAATAAATTAGTAGCCAGACAATGGTTCAATAGAAACAGGAAAAAATAAAAATGAGCAAATGCATAGATGTTTCTTCAATGATGATATACAGATAACCAATAAACATGAAAAAATGCTCAACATCACAAATTATTAGGGAACTACAAATCAAACTCTCAATGAAATACCACTTAACACCCTCTAGGTATAATAAAAAGAGAGGTAATGAAAGGTATAGGTTGGGATGTGGAGGAATTAGAATCATCACAAATTACTGGTAGAAATGTAAAATGGTGTATCATTGGAAGACAGTTTGTAAGCTCCTCAAAAATTTAAGCATAGGCTAAGCATGTGAGCCAGCAATACCACCCCTAGATAGGTATATTTCCTACGAGAAAATTAAGACAAATTTACACAGAGAATCCGGGGCATAAATGTTCATAGCAATGTTATTCATATTAGCTAAAAATGAAAACAATCCAAATGTCCATCAACTGATGAATGAATAAATAACATGTGATGTATTTACACAATGGTGTATTATTTAGCCACATGCACAAAAGTGAAATTCAGTTTATGCTACAATGCAGATATCATAACCTAACATTTTATTGATGTTTCTTTCTCTTTTGCTATCTTACTTTCCTGACTTATACACAATTCTGAAACTATCATGCCAAGTCTTTGTCTCACAGCTTGATTTAGGGGTGATATAAGTCAAGGCACTCATTAAATCATTTGGTCTTTCACACACATTATTTAATATAATTCTCCTAACAACCCTTGTAAGTACATTTGAGAAGAACTTAAGTATTAACTCTATTTTACATATGACTGAACTTTAATGAGATCATATTATGCCTATGATGCTACATTTAATAAGGGGCAGAATTTAATTTCAATTCCACATGTGTCTGATTCTGAAATCTCCTAGCGCTGTGACATTTGGATTAGTCACTTCTCATACCTGTTTTTATGTAAAATGAGGATAATAAAAAATATAAAGTTTAGGACTAATGTGTTAGTTAAATGAGATGTTCTAGATACAGGACATACTAGTTGCAGCATATTAGGTCTTATATTAGTCAGCTTTTACTATATGGCAATCTCAAATTCTCAGCAGTTTACAATAACAAATATTTATTTCTTGTTCGGCTTTATATTGTCAGCTATTGGAAGCTATGATTCTACCCTAGAGTGCAGGGTGTGTCTTTCTATAATCTCAATATATTTTGGGACCTGCACTAGAAAACCTTACATACAACTTGCTGTTCTTATGGAAGAGGGCACAAGAGTTAAGAAATTTTCAGAATCTTACAATTACCCTAAAAGTTTCTGTTTGGAAGTGTTGTATAGTGAATATTCCACTGACCAAATCAAGTGAGATATCCAAGCCCATAGTGGGCAGGGAAACATACTTTATTTACAGTAAAGGAGGGAATGAATTATTGAAAACATTAATACAACTCCCACAAATATAGTAATTATTTTTGCTTCATTGGTATCTGTGATATTGTGATCAATCAACAATATATAATTTGTTCATTCAAATAACCAAATATATTTCTTTTGTTCTTTATGTACACAGATACCCAAACCTTTGAATTTCCAAAGTGTTGAGAGTAATAAAGGTGTCTTGTTTGTTAATGGGTTAACTTTTTCTTGTAGTACTTAAAGATGGGGCTTGGTCACCAGTGGAAACAAGCAAGTTATTAGAGAGTTGAACTTCCACTCCCAACTTCCAGATCTCTGGGGAGGGTAGAGGGACTAGAGATTTTAATTCAGTTGACAATGACCAATAATTTAATCAGTCATGAATATATAATGAAACTTCCATAAAAGCTCAAAAGTAGGGCCTCCCCGGTGGCGCAGCGGTTGCGTGCTGGGTTGCAAAGCTGACCGCAACCTGTGCAGCGCCCGTTCAATCCCCAGCCTCTGGGCGAGGGTCCCACATGACGCGCAGACCTCTCTTGCTGTCCGCTGCTCCCCTCGGCAGTGTACTTCGTCACTCTGCCTGTTCTACTCTCCGCTCTGGCTCTGGTGAATTCTCTCACCCTACTGCGCCTCTGACTGTACCCAGTGCTTGTATAAATAAATAAATAAATCTTTAAAAAAAAAAAAAAGCTCAAAGGTAGATATTGGAGAACTATAAACATGTGGATATTTTGTGGGAGAAGCACACCCGCAGAGGGCAGAGAAGATCAGTGACTTTCCCCATACCTTATCCTATGCATGTTTCCCAAATATCTATTTGTAAGCTCTATCTTTTGTAATGAATTGGTGCTCTAGTGAATAAGTGGGTTTCCAGAATTCATGAGCTGTTCTAGCAAATTAATTGAGCGCAGTTAGCAAGTTGGATTCGTGACTGGTTTCACAAGTTGTAGGCAGTCTTGAGAGACTGAGCACTTGTAATAACTGACACTATCTTCGGATAGATTGAATCAGAATCGAGTTGACACTTCTCCAAAGAACATAGCCATGGACTACAGGCTCATGAAAAAAATGTTCATAATCCTTTATTATGAAGAATATGCAAGTCAATACCACTATGAGTGATTGCCTTCCCCCTGTGAGAACCTGTGTCAAGATGATTGGAAACAACAGATATTATGGATGTGGAGATAAAGGCTCCCTCATTAACTCTTGGTGGGAATGTAATTTGGTACAGTTTCTATGGAAAACAGTATGGAGATGCCTCAAAAAAAAAAAAAAAATGGAGATAGCATATGATCTAGCAACACCACTTCTAGTTATTTGTCCAAAGATAAGAAAATTTTTATGCACTCCTCTGTTCATAGCAGCATTATCCACAATAGCCAAGTTATGGAAGCAACTTATATGCCCATCATCAGATGACTAGATAAATTTTGGAATATGTACTGATGAAATACTACTTAATTACTAAAAAAGATGAAATAGTGTCTTTTGGGACAAAATGGATGGATCTTAAGGTGCTTATACTAAGTGAAATAAGTCAGAAACTATCAGATGATTTTGCTAATTTGCACAATATAAATAACCAAAGAAAAACTAGCAAAACAACATGAATAATCATTAAGACTATGAAAATTGGCTGCTCAAAATGGCTAGGGTACAAAGGAGTATTTTACTGAATGCTAATAAAAAATTTAGAGAGGAGATGCTATGGTCATACAAAAGGAATATTTGTGTGAACTATAAAGACTTAGAAACCTCTGATAAATAAGAGAGGAGTTGAGCTGGGATTTGAGAGATTATTAGGATTTGGATAAAATTCATTTTAAGCAGTTGTAGTAGGGTGAACAGTAGTATGGAGGCGACTAATTTGGATCCTGCTACTGGGTACAACAGGCGACAAAAAGTAGACCTTAGGAATTTTTTTTAATTAAATTTTTTTTCTTACATCATCATTAATTTTTGGACAGTATTTGATTTCTCCCCTTAGGCTAATCTTGTAGTTTTCCCACCACCTCAGCACCTGTGACCCATCTCCACCATGCCTTGTGCTCTTCCCTCCCCTGTTTTGTCTCTTCTCTCTCCCCATATCTTTCTATCTATGCACAATGGAATACTACTCAGTGATGAAAAAAAGAATAAACTCATGCCACTTGAGGCAACATGGATGAAGCTGGAAGGGATTATGGTAAGCAAAATAAAACAGAAGGAAAAAGATAAATATTGGGTGGTTCAACTTACATGTGGAATAGAGAGAAATTGAACAAAGGGTTAGGAAAAGGACCTTAGGAAATTCTAAGCAAGATTCAGAATTGAAGTTATATTTTAGAAAAAATAATTTAATCTCATAATTATCTGGCTATCTTGTAGGAGGGAAGCTAGGTGGCAGAAAGTTTTTTCTCCAGCATTATGTAAAACAGCCATTCTTCTTTCTTCAAAGTTATATACTGGCTCTGTGAGACAAGCATATTACAAAAATGTGGTGAGCATGACAAATATTTCCTCAATGCAGACTTGACTCCCACTAGTATGTAAACGAAAATTGTCTTACTTGTTTTTCTCTGAATCTCCTCTCTGACCAAATAAAGAACTTGCTTTGGTAGGAGACAATACTTCCCACACAAAAACGCAATTAAAGTAACATATTGGATAGACTGGGATATACAATGAAACATTGCAAACTAGATGAAAATATCTGTGCACTATCATTTTATTTTGCTTTTGAGCTAACCAAGGAAGGACTCTTTGAAAACAATTTTGGTTGGGCTCTTAAAAACAGAGAAATCATTTTCTAAAATTTTCCATATTTGAATTTCTTAGCAAACTACAATGCCCAGAAACTTTTGGAAAGCAGTGACAGTGGCTGTGGTAAGACTTTATATCCATTATTTTATTCCCTTTCCTGACTTCTTGTTTTTGGCTTATTAATAACCTCTAATAAATATTTGTTATGTTAATTCTACTCTATTTTGGTTTGTAAGTTAGTAGCAGTGTTTTGAATGAGATAATTTGATTTTCAAATTTAGATTTACGATTTCGCTAAGTGAAAAAATCCAAATGTATTTATCAAAACTTAAATCAATCACCTAAAAATTAAGGTTTCTTTTCAGATTTGTCAGGCCATCATAGTTATACCTTGAGACTGTATAACTTCATAATTAATGATATTGAAGTTAGGTGTAACAGGGTGAAATACATTTAAAAATGGCGGTGGGGGGAGAGAGAGAGAGAGAGAGAGAGAGAGAGAGAGAGAGAGAACATTTATTTAGCTTTTCTTCAGTGCTAGCTATTGCATTAACAACTTTAATCACTTATTGTCTTATCACTTATTGCAGTAACTATAGAGTAGTTGTTACCACCATTCCACAAATGAGGAAGCTGAGGTTCTGTAAGGTAAAGAAAGCTGCCAAGACCTCACAGTAGCAAATAAAGCTGATACTCAACCTGTTACATAGGTTTGTCTCTAAAGTTCATTTCCTTTCTGCTACATAATGTCTCCACGGTGCTCCATTCTCTTATTTCCAATCCTGTCTTGATCAACCTGGATTCCACACAGAACCTAGAATGTCTATTTTCGCTGACAAATAGCACTATAAACCAGGGAATTAAATTTACAATTTGGTTTTAAAAATCTCTTTTTATTGTGAAAATAACTCTATTATTATAATAATACAATCTTTGACAATAACCAATGCTGTAATAAATCATCTGGTATCAATCTATCCTTGTTCTCTTTTAATTTCTGTCTTCAATCATATACAATTTGTAAAGATTTATGCTCTTTAAGCATTTAATAACTATTACTAAATGGACATATTATCACTCATTAAGTCATACTATGATATATCATTGTTTCTAGGCCTTTTCAATAAAGAGAGCCAGGAATTTTTTAAGAGTTAATTATATCCTCGATTAGACTAATACATCCACTTCAAATTTAAGACTATGGGGGTTTTACTAACTGCCTTTGTTTTACATTTTTATTTCAAGGTTCTGAGTGACACTAGGGATGAAAGAAATAGTATATTACATAATAACTTATTTGCTTTATCCTGAGTTACATGCATCACAATCTCAGAATAACACTGCTGTTTAAAATATGACTACTGAAAATAGTGTTTTTTGTAAGTTATTAAACAAAACAAAGTTGTAATGAATGATGACTGTTTCTTGTTCTCTTGACTTCACTTTCTGACTAAGGGAAAGTATGGAAAAAAAGTGAATATTTCAAATTTTATCTTCAAAATAGAACAGTTTTCGTCACTTATACTAAGTTCATACTAAACACATGATACCTGCTTTTCTGATTTCAAGTTTCACGATCACTTAGTGACTCATGCTACTAAATCAAGATATTAAAACTTGACAAACTATTTAAAAGTAATGAATTGTATCTTTTTTCCCCTTTTGCTTCATATATTAATAGTTTTTGACCATAATAGGAAAGTCATTTATACAATTCAAAATATGAATTTTACTGTATTATGAGGTTCTGGGTTACCACCTTTAAAGAGATGATCTTTCTGTCTGGCAAATAAGGTCTTATTTTAATTTGATGTTTGTAGTACCAAGCTGGTGTGAGGGTTTTCTCGTGCCAGAGGATCAGAGGAAAATCATGCTGTGTGGAGGAAAGTCACCAGATGGCACTCAAGCACTGTTCATCAGAGTAAGAACTAGTGTCTATTTTAAGTTAGGGTATGATGACGAAGGAACTGATTTTGTGGAATAACAAATGTACTTAAATTTTAAAAAACTTTCCCCTCATATGTGATTGAACTCTAATATAGAATCACAAACCCCATTATTAAATATCCATTTAAGTCCAAATACACTAAAAGCTATGTTCTAGTATAACTGGACATACCCTATAAAAGATATACCCTAAAATTTTTTTGCTTTATCTGGTTCATTTGTTTATTTCTTTATGTACCACATATGCATGACATCCACATATTCTCTAACTGACTTATTTTAGTAAGATAATACCCTCTAGATCTTAAGCATAATACCCTCTGGATCTGTCCATGTAGCAAATGGCAGGAATAATTTAGTAGTATTCATACATATATGTATGTATGTATGTATGTATGTATGTATGTATGTATCTATCTATATACACACACATATATGCACACACACAATGGAATGATACTAAAATATGGGACTGGAATACCACATATATATGTGTATATATATATATATATACACACACACACATTAATATTACATCTTCTTTATCCGCTCATCTGTCCATGGACACTTATTTAGGTTGTTTCCAACTCTTGGCTATTGTATATAATACTGTGATGACCATGTATCTCTCTAAGTGAGTGCTTTTGTATTCTTCAAGTAAATGCCCAGAAGTGGGATAACTGTATAGCATGGAATTTCTATTTTCAATTTTTTGGGGAATTTTCTTACTGGTTTTCATTATGGCTGTACTAATTTACATTGTCAACAGTATATAAGAGCTTCCTATTCCCACATCATGCCTAATCCTAACACTTGCTATTAAAACCTTTTAGATCCGGGCCTCCCTGGTGGCGCAGCGGTTGAGCGCTGGGTTGCGAAGCTGCCCGCAGCCTCTGCAGCGCCGGGTTCGATCCCTGGCTGCTCCCGGGCCCCTGGAGGGGATCCGATCCCTGGCTGCTCCCTGGCCCCTGGAGGAGGGTCCCACATGGCGTGCAGACCTGTCCTGCCACCCGCTGCTCCCCTCAGCAGTGTACTTTGGTCCTTCTGCCTGCTCTGCTCCCCGTGCTTCTGACTGTACCCAGTGCTTGTATAAATAAATAAATAAACAAATCTTTAAAAAAAAACCAAAAAAACATTTAGATCCATATTGTATTAATATTAAGATAGAAAGTACCTAACATGTTCATTTTAAAGCATAAAATCAAAATTATAATTATCCTTATTAATATGTATTGATGTATCTCATTCTTACTGCTTTTTTTTTCTTTTGAATGGAAACTACATGATTTTTATTCAGTTAGTATATTTTTTGTTTTATGCTCTTATTATAGAATTTAAAACATATACAAAAGAGAGATAATATAACGTGCCCTCTTATACATATTATCCAGTTTCAATAATTATCAACATTCTTCACTGTTTCATTTACACCTCTTAACTTTTATTTTTCCAAAATATCTGAAGTAATTTTTAAAGCAAACCCAAGAGATCATCTCATTTGACCTGTAAGCACTTGTTTGTATTATCAGTAAATGAGAACTGGGAAAGAAAAAAAACCGCATAGCACAATACAACTATCCCATTACTTGAACTCTTTATGTATAACTTTGTTTTAAAGCTCAATCAGGCAGGACAACATCTTCAATGAAATAAAATTTTTTAAGTTTTGAGAGATAAAATGATGATATACTGTATTATTGAGCAATATTATGTTTTTTGAAATAGGTAGAAATATTTTTAAGTTGAAATATATTTTATTATTTAATTAAACTATAAAATCTCATCTTAGTCATTGGATAAGTATAAGCATGTACATTTCTGGAAACAAGCAAAGACCTTTTTATTTATATGTAAAACTACATATTTATAGGCAGATAAGTATGTTCCAATGTCCATATTTCTGCTTTATTACCATGGTCTCTCTGGACAAAAACGGTATGAATATGATTACATTAGCTAAATTGTGTCTGCTGTGATACTTAAGACTTGTGATGTATAGCTCTGTTTATTCTGGCTTCCATTCTTTTTTAAACTTTGTGTGATGTAATGTTCCCTATAAAAATCTGACATCAATAAGAGTAGGAACTGACTCATTGCATTTTCTGAAGATAATCAGTATTTCTAAGCTTTTAGTATTCTCCTTTAATGCCTGTCTATATTGACATTAGCTTCAGTTGAGGCAAGCGTGACCACAGGGTTAGTTTACCTCAAATAACCAAAGCTTAAGATCAAGCCACAGAGTTCAGCTAAGACCAGGAGAGGAATGCAATTGCCTAAGCTAAATGTAAGTGATATTGCATATCCTTTTAGGAATGTAATGTTTAGATTATATCTGGTGGCGGTGAAGAGTAAACAGACAGCAGCTTTTTTTCTCTAGGATCTTGTAATACTTCCACGCTATTTACATTATCTTAACCATATATTGCCTGTGTGACAACTTTATAAAGTTTTTCCTGGCAGATTAGTAACTTAAAATCTAAAAGAATGCACAGAATTAATTGGTATTACAAGGATAAAGAAACCTGCTGCTCAGGTTTAGACTGTTCTCTCTCTATTTCTTTTTATAGAATTAGTCCTACGAATACTTGCATTAGGAAAAACATAGGAAAGGTAGTTGTCTCATCAGATATCTCTAAATTTTGTTTGTTTACTAGCTTCTGAAATTCTGAAGCCAAAATTCTATTAATTTCACAGGTAGATAGATTGAATTCTTTGTTCAAATACAAAAATGTCTGAGCCCATTAGGCCTTATGAATTATTTATAGTTTGATGTGCATTCAGCTGCAATCCTTTTCTTTATGCAAGTCTTGACAGGGAAGTGAATAGAGGTAGGCTGCTATTAGAAAGTGTGTGGTATCATCTTAAGAATCAGATTTGGTTGATGGGAGAGTTATAGTGACTACACCTGAGAGAAGAAATGTTATACTCTAAAAACATTAACAAGATATAAAACAGTGGTACTTCACTAAAAAATAAGAAGCAGACTTATTCAAATGAATTAGCTTTAGTTAGTATTTGGCTAATTTAAAAAGTGCTAAATAAATTTGTGTCAGTATGTAGCATAAAATTGCAATTTTTTTTCCTGTTCAGGCTGAAAAATATCTGTTTAACAAATTATGTTATCAGAAACATTTTTTTAAGATTTATTTATTTATTTATTTATTTATTATTTATTT